ATGTGACTCTGATGCCCTCACTTGTGAGTGCCTTGCCTCCCGCTCCCAGGAATCTACAGTCTAGGTAGAGGGATAAGATCATCCCCAACTCCTAACTTTTATGGGAGAGGAAAGCAAGCCCCAGGGAGATGTAGGTACTCTCTGATCTTAGGATCTGGCCTAGGCAAAAGGATCAGGAGAGGCTGAGGTGCTAGGTCACAATGGGAGCCTGGGGCTAGCTCTTTGCTGAGCAGGCAGGCACCGCCAGGGACATCTGTCCTCAAGTGTGGGGTCCTCCTCCTCTGGTGTGGTATACTGAGACTAAGGTCTGGGAAGCAGTCATGAGTCAAGATCAGATAGGCACGATGATCCCTAAAAGACCAGTCCAGAAAGAGAAATGAGGGGTCGTGCAATGTACTCAGGGCCTGTAATTTACAGCATTTTAGATTCTTACAAGCCACCTGAGAGGTAGATTTTACGACTGGCATTCTACAGATAAGGAAGATGAAGATGAAGTTAATGGAGGTTATGAAATTCACCTAAGACCACACAGCTAGAGAGTGGGCATTCAGACGCAGACCCACTCACCCCAGTGCCTTTCTGCTTCATCGTATGTCATGCTGCCTCACTGCCTTCTGCCTGAGGTCAGGCCTGCTTATGGCAATGATAATGCCGGACCATTGAAAGAGATGAAATGGTCCCAGTTGCAGGAGAGGAGGTGTGCAAAGCTTAAAATGAGGCAGGACTAATAGGTCAATCGAGGTCACAAAGCAAGAGGAGTTGGCTCAGAAGGAGTCAGGCCCCTGGGTTTTGATTCTCAACCCTCTTGTACCCTGATGCTAACTACTTCTGAAACGCTGAGCTCAGGAATGGCTGGAGGGCTCAGCTGCAGGAGAAAGCTCATGTTTCCAGTGCCATGGGAGGGATGGGGAGAGAATGGAGAGAGACTTGGTGGGGCCAGCCATGAGGAGAGGCAGGCTTTATTGAAATAGCCAGCTTCCTCACGTACAGCCTAGTGAGGCAGATCAACCTGGAACCAAGACCCATTGCTCCTAGAGGTCAGGAATTAAGACCCTTCCCTGTTTGGGTTTTCTCCCAGCGTAGGCCTGGAAGTGAGTACTCAGATTGCAAAGCCAGAAAGTGAGAGAGGTTTCAGGCTGCTGCCGTTCTCTTGTTTCAAAGGACAGAACCTTTGGGTGACCCCAACAGCCAAGCCCCAGGCCATGTCTGGCTTGCACCAGCTACCCCCAGAGCACAAAGTCTCCTCCCTGCTGCCTTTTCTGGGCTTTCACCTCCTTAACATAGCCCTGAGCATTTCTCCAGAACTTCCTGTTTGCCTGCAGCTGCACAGATGCAGGTCCCACCCAAGGGTCATCTGGAGGAGGCTGGGTGAAAGGTGGGAGTTGGCTGTGTTCCCCATAGCTCCTTGGGGTTTTCTCCACCCACACATGGGTTCCCTGGCTTCGCCACTCCCATCGGGCTCTGAAGCCAGTGGAGCAGAGGCCCCATATCCAAGTTAGCTCACATGAAGGTCAAGGTGACCCAAAAGGGCTTGTGGCCAAGATCTTTCCTCTTCTTCTTCTTCTTTTTTTTTTTTTTTTGATTTTTCACTTTTCCAAAAGTCCAAACAAGTGATGACTTTAGGACATAGCATTCTGGAGAGAACTGGGGAGGGAAACAAAGTCCTCCTTGGTTAGGGAAATGGAGAAAAAGCACACAGGGGGTGAGGCCTTTGGATTTTCTGAAAGAGCGTCACCATGGTCAAAAACCTGTACGCAAACCTTGTAGGTGCTGGGCCTATAGGAACTGTAAACAGAAGGACAGAATGAATATTCCTGGGGTACAGAGACTAAGTCAATGCCAGTGTTGAAAAATTTCCAATATGTGGGTCTGGAAAATGTTCCTAGTGCAAAGCAGAGTTTTCCGGGCGGCTACCATTCCTTCACAACCTAAGAGGGCAGAGGCTGAAGTCATCAGGAGAGGATCTGTCTGCTCTGTCTAGTCTTGGGCTGTTCACCACATGCCTGTCCTAATGATTAATTAGATTGTTTCAGTGTTTAGAGTATTGTGAAGATATAACACTGTATTAGAACATTGCATTGTATTGGCTTGGGGATAACACCGTCATGCAAATAACATGAAAACAAGTTTTTTAAAGTGAGGGTTCAGGAGCTCCGTGTAACTGTTCTGAGTCTCTCTCCTCACTCTCTCTCTCTACAATTTGCTTCTGAAGGGACTTTGGTCCATGATAACATAAGGGAGGAGATAAGCAGGTTGATAAAATGGCAAACTTCTAAGGAGTCCAAGGAAAGAAGAGATTTTGTCTACAAAGTTGTGTCAGCTATCGCTGTTGGATTTTTGGAGATTTTATCCAACACTCTCAGCTCTTTGATGCCCCAGGGGGCTGGCCCTTGTGCTCTGTGTCACCTGGGGTCTCTTGTCTGCTGACTTCTGAATTTTGCCAATGAGAGCAACAGCAGGAGATTAGATAAATGTCGGAATGTTTCTTCCCTGTGTCTGAGCCTGACAACAGCTGTGATCCTCCTAGTACAGATTTTACCAGGAGGTCCATTCACAACCATTCCTCCCCACACACAGTTTTGGCTGTCAATGGGCTCCTGTCGTGCTATTTTGCCCTTTTTCCTTCTCAGTCCTAAGGGTCTGAAGACCCCATTGCTAGGCTCTAGGTGTCTCTTCTTTGTAAATAATCCCTTTGACAAAGTCTTCATTTGGACCATCTGCAGGGATCTGTGGCTCCCTAATCATAACAAGTTTCCTGAGGGAAGTAAATATTGCACACTCAGCATCATGGTATTCTAGTTTGTTCTTGACTGTTGACTTTGTCCTATGGGAGAGGTCATCTTTGTGCAAATTGGCAATCCACAAGAAGTGAGCTGTGCACAAGAGCATTTGAAGACTCACAACACACAGTCATAGCAGGAAGTGGCAAGGCAGCAAGCTGTGAAGAGGCAGAAGGGGAAGATGGGGACCAGAAGCTGAAAGATACAGATGATCCAGAGAGCAATTGTAATGGACACCGAGGTGAGCTGCTCAGATTGCAGGTGTGTGGTCCACCAAGCAACCTCCAGCTGATGCTCCCTTCTGAGTCTGCCTCAGCAGGGAAATGTCATTTCTTATAGGTGCAGCCCAGCTGGGTAGGGTATAAAGGGTATGAAGGCCTGGCTATACTGCCTGATGGTTTGTTCGGCTCCTTCTTCTGTACAACCATGCAACCTCCCTCTTCAAGTACTGACCTCTAATAAACATCTTGCATTCAAACTCCATCTCTGCTCCCTGAGAACCCAACCTATGAGGCTAAGTTTAAAAGAATTTACAGCAACAGCAGCAAAAGCACATTAAAATAATTAAACCATTTTTACTTTTTGGATTTATTTTATAGATTTCATATGTTGCAAGGAGCGTTTATGTTTTATACAGAGGCAGAGAAAGTCCCAGGGGGCATGAGAGCTGGGTGAGAGCCATGACTGATGAGTTCTTTCAGAGCTTCCGAAGGAGGGAATCCAGATCAGAAATGTGCAAACTTCTAAGAAGTTAGAGCTTCGTTCAGTGACACTATGGACACACACAGGATTATTTGAGACTAATCTGAGTTTACATTTAGGAGGTAAAATAGACATAACCATGGAGGATCAGGGTTATGAAGCATTTTCCCTATCCCTATTTGACAAAAAGGGAAACTGACAATGGGAAACTTTGCGATATCTGTGTGCCTGATGGTCAGCAGAGATGTTTTTCACATGAACTTGAAAACAGCACTGAATCAGCATGTGCATTCTTTTCTTAGGGTTATGGAAGAGTGAGGACTTGAAATATTTTACCCCAACAAGTGAAACGACTTATCTGAAAAATGAACATGTTTTTTATTGCATTTCTAGATTTCTGACCCACAGGAACACTCCTTGCCACCCCTTAATAGTCTTTTCATCCCAACATCCTGGTACCCACACATTTGCATGAGGCTCAGACTTAATAGTGTCCTCTTCCCATGTCTCACACCCCTGACTGCTGGAAACTTCGTGTCTAACCTCATGCCCCCTCATTCCTTCCTGCTTATACCCTTTCCTGGTTACTTCCCCAGAAACCATGTGGGTGGCTGGTTCTTGAGTTTAAATATGAGTCTCATTTCTACCCTGGAGCTACCTCTGAGGCAACAGGAAACACTTAAGAAAAATATGATCCACCTCTGAGTGGGTGAATGTCATATCCTTGACCAGAGACATAAATTGTGTTACAACTCAGGGACAAGGTAAAGTGAGGGCTTAGGAATTTCCTAAATGAGCAGAACCAGCTCTATCCCTAAAGTCAGTTCTCTGTCAAATGATTAATAAGGCCTACTCAGATTGAGACAATTCTTACTTCCAGGCACACTGGACTAAGGCTTATGACAGAGTCATGCTACGAGGCAATATCCCACTCTTCAGTCTTGCCCACCTCAAGCCCAACATAGCTACCAAAATAACCTAAAGAAATCTAAACTCTCATCACTTCCACTGTTACTAATAGCATCCTTTACAAATAGCATGTTGATCTCTGTCCAGAAGGTGTTCCCATCTCTTAGCCTGCTAATCCTGCCCATATGATCAATGAATTAAGAGCTTCTAAAAGCTCCTCCAAATGATCTCTATCTCCGGGCCAAGTCTTTAGATTTAGTTTAGCTTTCAACACCTCTGTGATATAAGCTCTGACAAAAACAGCTTGCATCCTTTGGTTTAAGCTCTAACAAAAACAGCTTGAATCCTTTGGTTTATGCTAATGAATGCATTTCTCCCTTTTTATCTCTTCTCCCTTTCCATGTCAGGGAGGGAGACAGCACACTGGGATGAAGACAAATATGGCGATAGTGTGTGGCCAGAGTAGGACCACCGTGGGAGGGAATTGGAGGACAAATTACTTTTGATATTTTCCAAGTCACATTTAATGGTTTCACACTAGCCAATTCTTCCCCAAACCCACCTAGCTCAGGAACTCAAGTCTTTCCAACCAAAGGATCAAAGGAAACATTTCTGCTTTCAAAGTTTTATTGAGATGTTGGGGAGAAACAGCCAACATATACATTCCTCATTTCGTCACAACTGGCATTTGATCCACATTCCATAGGCTCTTCTCTGGCTTTGATCTAACATCAGTTCTCCTTGGCAGTCCCCCTTCTGCTGTTGTTGCTGCCTGGTGCTGTGTGAAGTGCACCAGGGCAGAGCCCGCTGAGGACTCACAAGTGGGAGCGGTAATTGCGATTGGCTGTGGGAAAAGACAGGTTTGCAACAGAGACGCAATTAGAACATTCCCATCAATACTCTTATTGCTCAAATCTGCATTTAGTTATTGGAAATAATCTCAGGCCAAGATTTCAGGGTCCTGTGAGGGCTGCCTCCAAGAGGGAGGGCCTGGCAGCACTGTGTGCCTAAGTTTGGCAGTCTCCTCCCCATTCCTCACTCACCATCATCACCCCGTTTCCTACTTTTCAGGTTGCCCTTACGGTATTTCCTTTTGCTGCCACCTCTCTTGACTCCCTTGTGAGGAGATCGGCTCTTGCTCCTCCTCATGCCATGACTCTTTAATTTGCGGCTGGTCGACATGGTAAGTTCTGCCAAAATGAGGGGCTTTGCAAGGCCCGGGGGCCAGGAGTCTGGATATTTAAGGGCTTGGCCATTGTGACAGGGAAGGGGCGTGGCTCAGCAGGTGGGCGGGGTTCTATTGTGCTGTCACTCACCTTTGCTGCACTTTGGTCATATATGTGAAATAAGGTGGTCCTTTTCATGCAGCTCAAGGGTTTCCCTTAGTTTTGAGGTCCTTTTGATGTTAAGTGAGGCTTTCCCAGAGGTGTTATTGAGCAACCGAATCCCAGCCCTGTGCTAGGCATCGGAGGACTACAAGAGACCATTCGAATATGCTTCTCCTGCCTGTAGGAAATGTAAGAGTCATTGAGTGTGTGTGTATGCATCACTGTTTAAGTCTCTCACAGCATCCGGAGATAATAAATATATTTCTATAAGGACTTGACTCTAGAGAAACCAATTCAATATGATCAAAATAGAAATATTCCTTCTTTTTCGTCTAGGTCAGGATTTCTCAGTCTAGGCACTATTGACACAATGGGCAGGGTAACTTTTGGTGGGCTGTCTTGTGCATCCTAGAATGTTTGGCAATGTCCCTGGCCTCTACCCACTGTACACTAATGACAACCCAAAATATTCCCAAACATTGCCACCTGTTTCTTCAGGAGGCTGGGGAAGTGAGGGACAAAATGACTCTGGTTCAGAACAATTAACCTAATCGTTTTTTAAAATTTTGTTACAGACATTGATCACATAGCATATGCCATACATTTAGGTGGTAGAAAATTAGTGGAGGATAAAAACATGTAGATACTGTGCTCGTGGAACTCTCAGCCCACTAGGGAGAAAGCCATTCATCGGCGTCTACATAAGTCAGTGAATAAGTACTTAGGGAGTCATTTTGGCTGGAGAAGGACAGAGGGAAACTCCCTGCATGGTACAGGATGAGGTTGGAGAGAGAGAGATCAAACCATGATCAAGTACATTGGGAAGCCCTTGAAAATGTTAAGAGGATGGCTTGTGAGATTAGAGGGTGCCAACTGGGTGATGTATTGACTGGAGGAGCCGTGTAAAGGGAGATGCTACTGTCAACATCAATGGTTCAGTAGAGAAAAAGATTTGATGATGGCTTAGGTCTGGCCAGGAAGGGTAATTGAGATATAAAGGAGACAAGAGACCAAGACTTGGTAATGGATTGGATTTGGGAGGTGAAACAGATGGTGTCAAGGGTGTGGCTTTTGTTTCTGCATAATGCAGTTATCTGGATGCTGGTGCCATTCATGGGGATAAAGGCCAGACTTGGGGAGAGTAATGATCATATACTTGGTATGACATACTGGCTTTGAAGTGCCTTTGACACTTACAAATAGATATATTGAAGGATTATTGGTGTATAAGTCATCCAGCCTTTCCTTTTTCCTCCATTATACCTCATAGTAAATGCTTTTGAAAAGATTTCTTTCTTTTTTTTTTTTTTTGAGACTGAGTCTTGCTCTTTTGCCCAGGCTGGAGTGCCGTGGCGCAGTCTGGGCTCACTGCAACATCCGCCTCCTGTGTTCCAGCATTTCTCCTGCCTCAGTCTCCCGAATAGCTGGGATTACAGGGGCATGCCACCACGCCCAGCTAATTTTTGTATTTTTAGTAGAGACAGGGTTTCGCCATGTTGGCCAGACTAGTTTTGAACTTCTGATCTCAGGTGATCCGCCCACCTTGGCCTCCCAAAGTGCTGGGATTACAGGCATGAGCCACTGTGCCCGCCTCATTCAGATTTCTGTAGAACTTGTTTGCTATTTCTTCCATTTGTCCCTCCTTCTCTCTCCACTGCCATTATCCTCATTCAAGAACTGAGCATCTTGTGTGCAGGAGATCCTTAGCAAAAGTTGGTTGAATAGAAGAGCGAATGTAGTTCAAACCCCACTCCCTGGTTTTCTGATATCTATAGATGGCAAATTGTGTTTTGAAACCCAGATTCCTTGAATAGCCACCATATGTGACACTTTCCATTTTCCTCTTCCAGGCAGGTCTCTCTGGAGACCTTCTGTTGGTGATTTGTTGGTGACTTTTATTCACACAAAGAAGCAGTTCTATAAAACAGACTACCGGCTTGCTTGGTGGTACTCCAGACCTTCTGTGTCCACTCAAGGCTGGTTGTTTCTTCTACAAACCTGCTCCCATGAGAGCAGGGACTTGCGTGAAAGCAGGAATTGAGAAATTGGGCTCACCACTGAATAGTCCCTGGGAGTTAATCAGTCCTGCCACAGAATAGAAGCTCAGTAAATATTTGTGAAATACATTTGGTCAGTGAATAAAAAGTCCTTTTATTTTTCTAAATCCTGTTCCTTCCCACTTTGCCCCAAATCTCTAAGGAAGACGTCCCAACTTACCAAATTTTCACTGTCCTTTGAAACTTCTTCAGAGTTTATTGTCCATATGACCTTGGCTTTAAAGTCTAGACAACCAACCCTAATTGTGTGAAATCGTGTTTTATGCCTGCATTTCCAGCCATGTGTGTTAGACTGGTTTCAACAGGAGGTGGTGTGTCTTCGTTCCGGTCCTCACTGGACTTCTCTGGACGTTAGCTCCGTTGTTCTATAAATAAGCAGGTTGGGCTAGGTGATCTCTGAAATGATCTGACTTTGGTGATAGCCTCCTTCTTGTTAGGGACTGTACCTTTTATTTCTACTGCATTTTCCACAGGTACTAGCATGGCCCACACTAGGTGGTCAGTAAATATTTGTTCCGTCTAGCTGCTTTGGTGTATTATGAGGATAGTTCAACACAATCACAGTGACTTTGCACAAGTGGGGGCATTTCTGGGCAGGGAAGAGAGAAGACATTGTCCTCACAACAGGTCCTCTGGTCCTCTGTGCCCGCCTCTCATGCCTGACACCATTGGCTATAACGTTTACAGAGGAACTGGCCTCTTTGGTTTTAGAGGTATTTTTCTGGATGGTCCTGAAGATTGGATACTATTTCTCTTCTCAGTCCCTCCCACCCTCAAAAGACCTGCTGTGCCAAGGAGAAGTTGAGATCACAGGGAAGAAGACAGCCAGACTTGGGAACTGATGAAGAAACAAACAAAAAAGTCCCCTTTGCCCAGAGTTGAGGAGCAGTTCTGGTTCCAGACACCCATGCTGAGAAACTTGAGCAGCAGAAAACCCAGTGGGGGACAGGGTAGGCGATTCACAGGCCACTCAAGGCGGGGGTGTGTGGAGGCTGTTTGGGTTGGCTCCTGTATTGGACCTCCTGGAGGGAGGACGGAGCAGGGCTGAGCATTGGCCACTGCTGCCTGTCTCTGTTTCTCTTTCCATTTCTGCCCCAGTGTTGCTCAAGCTAGCAGCAATTTAGATAGAGCCCAGTAAGCTACTTCTAACCCTTGGCAGGTCCAGGATGAGGCCTTTCCTTGAGAACCATCTGTTAATCCAGTCTGCTGACTGTCTCATCATTTTTTTTCCTGCTATCTTTGCACAGAGAGGACATATGAGTGACTTCAAATAACAACATAGGACTAACATGGACAGCCCCATAAACCTGTTTACTTCATACCTTAGCTTCCCTGGTGGGACTTAGCTTTTTTCCGCCTTGATGAAAGGAAATGACTATGTTCTGATCATTGTTGGCACATAAAGAGAGATAACTAAATTCCTGGCCTTTTGAGAAGAGACACTATCAGCCTTTTCTTTCTTGGGGCCCAGGGATGTCTTGCCTGGAGACAGGTAAATGGACAGGATGGTGTCTGTATCTCCTAGACGGGTAGCCGGGGTTGCAGTGCAGGAAAGGGCTTGGGGGCCAGTGCTCTCACTGCTCCCTTTCCTAGGCTAGGAAAGGTAGGCTTAGGGTGTCACTGTTTTGGAAGTCAGATCTCTAGTTAGATTCCATGTCACCTCTCCAATTCAAACTCACTCCATTAATTTTGCCGGGGAGTACAGTGGATGCCTTCATAGGGCTGGATCTTCCCAGCAGGCTGAGACTTGGGGCTTATGAAGAGGGAACATGGAAAAGTTGCTGACAGTCCTTACACATGTCGATGACTCAGTCTGAATCCCTCTCTGAAATCTAAGTCTCTCCAGATGTTGACCTCGGCTGGAAAGCGGGGGCCTTTTACCCTGTTCACATGCACACCCTGTCTTCTCTACTGCTGCTGCTGCTGCTGTTTGAACAGGCCAAAGGGGCGTGGGGACAGATTGGAGGAGGAGAAAGTGGCTGACAGAGGTGCCTCACCAAGGGGCAGAGCTCTCTGAACTCAGAACACATTCACTGTCTTCAGTAGGGAATAAGAAGAGGCCAGAGACCAAGGCCTAGGGGTAGTTTGCAGAGCAAACATACACCTTTTTTTCATCCAGTTCTGGAGGTATAGGCAGCATCTTGGTTCTGAGGATGGCCTGGAGTCTGTCTGAAGATATGGTGGTGTTCCTTCCCGTTTTTCCATCAGGCTACTCTCCTATTCTTTCTGCTGCATTCTCAAATTGTTTTTCAGTAAACAATTTCTGCTTTTTTCAGGAGAGAGATTGGGGTGCTTAAAGTGAGAGATTTATCACAAGAGCAATGGTCATGGGAGGCTCTTAGGGTCTACCTTGTCCTGCTTCTTTGGGAGCCAAGAGGCTTATCTCAGGGGCCACACCTGGGCGGTGGAAGAGCCAGGATAGTGACAAGATTGCCAACCCCAGGCCAAGGACTGCCTGCTGCACCATAGTGCCTTCCCTACTCGACTTAAAAACAAACCTGTCCTTGAGTCTCCACTCTATTAGCCTTTTCTTTCATGCATGCCTGCTATGATCACAGTGAAGGAACCTAATATTAAAGAGGGAGAACTGGAAAAAAGTAGTCCTTTTTAGAGGCAGAGCATGAATTTGGATGACCTCTGGACAACTTTCAAGTTCTCATTTTGAAAGCATTCAAACTTTCATTTGCTTTTAATTATTTTCAGACTTCTGAAAATTGATCATTTCTGTTCCTTTTGTCTTTCCAAGTCCCACTAACAATAAAACTACATGGTATAATGGTGCATAAAGAAAATTCAAATTGTATGCTTCAGAGGGTTCTAAATAAAGTTTTCACATTGACCACTAGCCACTAACCTGCCTCCCTTAATCCCCATCTATAACATAGTAACAAAAAATATGTCCTTTTTCCGAATACACCGGAAATATAGTTCCATTCAGCTGTTAAGTTAAAAGTAGGGCTGCATCCCAGGGTGTTAGAAAAGGGTGTTATGGTACAAAAATATCACACATATTAAAATCATTTGGCCTCATGTGGTCACGAATAATATGTTTTAATCCATCCACCAACTGGAGTAAGGAACTTTGAGTTGGAGTGTTGCTAGAGAACAATTTTATAATAAATAGACCTTGAGATGAAGGGTAACAGACAAAGTCACAAATCATAGGCAAAGTGAGATCTCAAACCTAGATTTCTTAATCTCCAGTCCAGGCTTCTGCCACTATGCAATGATGCACCGCAATTATAATTTCTGGCCTCTTTTTTATTTTCTGTGCATTTGGTCTGCTTTTCTCTTCTCCCCTTGTGTGCTAAGAGCCATGTACAGGAGCCTTGGCCCTCTTAAAATCATCCCACCTGCCAAGGGCCATCAGTTCAGAGTTTTAGGGCACCTGACCCTCTGAAAGCGGGGAAAGAGTTGCCATCAAGGGGGGAAAAGGACCACAGAGACAGGCTGAGGTTGCCACACATGAAGAAGGTCAATGGCTTCATAATTGGTGATTTCAAAGCATTGTGACCATCAGGCTGGTAGAGTGCATTGGATACAGGAGATCTGACTAACTCTACTGACCAAGGTTGGGCCAAGAGAGAGCATCACAATGAACCCTACCTCTTTGACTTGGCTTGCCAAGCCTCTACTTCCTAGTCTTAGTGGTGATTGAGGGAGAAGAACAGGCAGATTCAAAGCATAATTTTACTACATGTCCTGAAACTCTTAAAAGAGAGAGTTGGCAATGAAGGCTTGCTTGACAGTGTCACTGTCAGGTTTCCCCATTGTTCTTTGGGGCAGAATTCTCATATTTGGAGATCTCAAAAAGTAGGTTTAGTTGTATTTATACTAAATAAAAAGAAAAAAGTAGATCTTTTGCTGCTCTTTCTAATCCTAAAGTTCTCTGGTCCAAAGCACAAAGGTTTAGTAACACTTCCCTCTTCATTACATTCTTGTTCTGGGGAAGCAGATGGGACTTGCCTAGAGAAATGTTCAAAGCAAAGCTTTTGTTTTTAGTAAGGACCAAAGAAAGACCCAGATGCTTTAGAGTGTGGAAGTAATCAGATTTTATTGATCAAGAAATTCCAGATACTTGGCAGCCTTATTACTGTTGTTGTTGTTGTTGTTATTATTATTATTATTATTATTATTTGGTGGGGAGGAAATGTAGTAGGTCATACCATGGAAATGTTCTGGGGTTCTAGTAAGGACCACGTCACCATGTAGAAATATTTGTTTTCTAAGACTACTGCAACAGTGAAAGTGCACTTTCTTCATGTTGCAAGAGAG